AAAACTTCGTGGAAAAAAAAAATAATAATCAACAAATTTTCACCCAAATTTCAAACTTTTTTCTCAGAAGTGCTGAAATATTTTTGAGTAAGCAGTTTTGTAGCCCATTCAATTCTAAGTCGATAAAGTTCAAGTTTCAAGTAACAAGTAACTAAAAATTACCGTTGATTTTTTAGATTTTTTTTGTTACATTTGCTTCCACAGAGCTATGGAAGAAAATCGCAACTCCTTCGGCAAAAAGAAATTCTAAAAAATCTACGGTAATTTTTAGTATTGTATTTTTGTGTTGTAACTCGCTCCTTAAACTCTTATGGCCTGATTTATAAAATCTATTTAAAGAGCTTTATGAAGTAAGATTTTCCAAACAAAATTTCGATCAACTAAGCATTGTTTATTTTTTTTTTTTTTGAGTGTGGGTTAAGGATGTTAATTTTTCATATTTTTTTTAGATATTCATTACTTTTCAACAACTTAAATCGAAAAAATTAAGAAGCTCTCCAACCATAAAATAAATAATAAATAAATGGGGTTGAAACCTAATTTTTATTTAAAGTTTCGTTTTTATTTTTTCTCTCTGACGTCAGGATTAATTTCAAAGATATGATTAATTCCAAAAATTATTTAAAAAATTCAATGGATTTAGAATAAAAATATTGGTTCCAAATGCAAGATGAAATTTCTTTACGACATAAAAAAATTAAAATTTTTTGGATTCACTAGGACGAATAGATAATTTTTTAAGCTAATAAATAAATAAAAGGACATTTTAATTACTTACCAGTCCTTCTGCACCAAAAACTTGAATCTGTTTAAATTCTACAGGACTTCTTCTGTCTTTTAATACGCAAACGTCTTCTCTGACAACATTTCTCTGAATTTTTTAAACCATTTTTGAATTACGGACGTCAGATTGAAATACTAAAAACGAAATTTTACTATATTTGGCACATAATTTCGCGAATATATTGATATTTGTGTTTAAAATTTACTATCGCGCGGTGTTATATGTATAATGAGCTAGACATTTATAAAAACATATTAATTAATAAATAAAAAAGATATGTAGCCAACCTACCTATTTATAAGCATTGTACTGAATTTTTAACATTAAATTCCGAATTTTTAAAAATTTGCATATCACTTTGAATCTCATTTATTACATAAGCTAATGTCGAGGTTTTTTCCACCTTCTTCATGACACTTTTCATGGTTTCATGACATGGTTTTTCTTGGGAGGCAGGCTTTTTGTTTAATCTTTCTTAGGCAACAATTTCCCATATATGTATGCCATTTGAAAACTTTTGGAGAAGTAAACATTTTAAATAAAAAATCCTTTTTCACCTAAAATTGTGAAGTGAGATTCTGGAAATATTTCAAATTTTTGGTTTTTTTCGAAGTGTCTTATTTTACGAAAACATATAAACAAGGACATAAAAATGTGACATTCAGGAAAATTCGGAGGGAAATATATTATTATTCACTCAAGGTTAAATAAAAATGTAAAAAATATAAAGTATGTATTTCCTGGGACTCACCCGTTCTTGTGACCAAATTGAAAGGCAATTGAGAAGCGTAGAAATGCGAGACCTTATCGGTACGTGCATACTAAAGGACGTATGTACATATGTACACATGTATAAAACTTTACAAGACACAATATATTTATGAACACAAGCATACATATATAAATATATACACACACATACATACATATGATCTGTAGTTGCTCTTTTTTTGGTTTTTACTTGTATTGTTATTGCAAAGGACCATCGATTTGTAGTTATGTACATAATACATTGTACATACATACATATGTATTAACATACGTTCATATGCACTCAAAAATATTTAAGCATTTTTCACTTTTCACCAATCATGCTTTCGCCTTTTTCTTTGCTCATGCGCCGCCATATTACCAAACTTCGCTGGCGGCGCATCGGCCTTGCAACTTTTTATTTGATATGCTTACACTTCATCACAAATAATTATATTTATTCAAAACGCAACTTAATTACACTGTAAACACACAACAAAACATATTTTTGTACTTAAATACTTAATTTAAATCACAATTTAATAAAACTTTGCACTAAAACCGAAGCGCAGAAAAACGAGCAGCAAACACTAGCGAAAGTTGAAACACGACTGAGGATACGGAATTGGATGGACAGAAACACAGGGAGGAAGGATATGAAATTTTAAATTATAATACATTTTCAATATAGTTGTGACACATACCTCATAAAAAAGAAATCAAATGAATTGTCTAATTTGTCGACATGCATGTACTATCAAAGGTGTTTCACATGACTCACCCTTTGATTTCATCGAAATTTTTGTAGGCACGTAAACGTATCCCTCACTGCTATGTATCTATATATAGTTGCCAGTGTTGCCATTTTGCCCAATCTAGCTCGATTTATCCCTTTTTATTTTAAATTGCCCAGAAATTTGCTCTTAGACCCTAGCTCTTTTTTTGGCCCTTTAAAATTTGAAACAGGCCTCTGGGGCTCCAAAAATCTTAACTTAATTTTAAACATTTCTGCTGTTTGTGTCCAAAAACACATTTTCAACTGAAAGAGTGATTATACCAAAAATTTAAATTGGCCGCTTTTATTAAATTTGTCAAAAGTTTAACATTTTCTGTCCGATTTGGTCGTTTTTATGCTTCACACTTTCGTTATAAAATTCGAAAAGGCTTCAAAATCCCTTTAACTTTCGAATTTAAACGTCTGAAACTCAAAAAGTACTATTCCGATTGACAACGCAATGAGGCTAAAAAATCTTTCGAAAGGTATCCAAAAAAGATTAGTTGTGTTGCTTCTCTGGAGTTTGTTTTTGCGAAAACTGCAAACGACTTAGAAAAGAAGTTTTTACCTATATCTTGGAAACACTACTTTTGGAAAATAAATTCGGCTTATTTTCATGTTTAGCGCCCCTAAATTAGTTTTAAAACTAGTGTAATTAATGAATTCGTAATATATGTTTTTTATGTTTTGTTTTTACGAGTTTAAAGCTTATAAGGGTGACAAACGCTTTGACGTCTTTGAGGGTAGGTTTATATAGGGGTATGCTTCAAATTAAATCGATTATGGCAATTTTTTCGTTTTTTTTTTCTTGTTTTATCTATACAGTTTCGAAACATTTGCGCCGAAAGATTTTAAAATTTTTACATTAAGCAAAGCGTTCACTTCGATAGGCAGCGCCTCAGCGCGACATAAGAGAATGAAAACTTTTTCTTATCTATTAGCAACCCAGTGAATCAACACTTCCTTTAGTTTTTAAACGTCGCCAATTCAAAATTATTGTAGCATTCGCAATAACAATAAATAAGTCTCAAGGTCAGACCCTAGAAATAGGATTGCTTTACGCATTTACTTGTAGTTCATAAATGTTAAACACGGAAAAGTTTGGTTCTACGCCGACTCCTTCTAATTTTTTCCAAAAAAATTATGGGACTGTACCACTGGGCGACGACGTAAATACGACTGAGGAAACGGAACTGTTGGCGATCGGAACACAGAGTGGAAAAGCATAAAATTTATTAAAAGTTTTTCAAAAACAACATAATCCACGACTCAAACCAATTAGATTTATTTAGTTCACAGGGTGATGGCAGAAAAACTGTGACAGAAGTTATGACTGCATGTATGTGCTATTTCCATACAAACATTAGTACATATGTTAAGAATCCCAGTTTCATTAAATTGTGTTCTTTTATTTTCAGTTTAAAGTATATGCATTCATGCTTTTCACATCCACTTGAATAAATGGTTTGCAAAATCTCAGCACATGAATCTTCCTGTGTTTGCAGAATCTTCGGTGCGTAAAATACTCTTGGTTAGTATCGCCGCTGGTATTAATGGGAAATCGGAAAATAGAAAATAACGATTTTAAAACGTGAGCACGATGAATTAAAAATTTTTCCGAATCCGAGTTGTTGTTGTTGTAGCAGCATGTAAGTTCCCCAAAGAGTTTTTGGGGAGTGTTGCTGGAGTCGAACCAGCTTATATTAACATCGTTGCGTAAATTTGTTTAAAATATTCCAAGAGTTTCGTGCCCGGTTTGACACATTTTCGGAAATACAGTTTTTTTTTAATACGCGGTTAGTTGGATCTCTGATACACATTTACACCGAAATTCAAAATTAATGAATAAGATATTTTTTAACATCTTTAAAATTTGTACATATATAGTTAAGCATTTCCTAAACCTTTTTGCTTCTTGATGACGGTACTCATATCGATGGCTGAGTGAACCTATCCACCTATCTCGGAAGTTCGAAAACGCCCTATCTCAGAAAAATTTTCATCAACTCCTTACATCAGAATTTAGTTGAAGAACGCCATATTCTAGGATTTGATTAAAAAACGCCCTATTTCGGAATTCTTTTCAAAAAGGCCCTATCTCGGCTGCCGATTCAAAAACGCCATGCCTCAGCACATTCTCAATTTATTTTCGTATTTGCGTTCTTGAAAAGTTCTCTGAGATGGTGCGTTTTCGAACTGGCTGCCGAGATAGATCGTCTACCACTCAGCCATCGATATATTGATGCACAAAATAAACTTTCGATAATTGAAAGAATATTTTAACCATTCTTTTGCATAAAATAGTTAAGTGATTTCTTGAATTAAAGAAGAAGAAAATTTTAAATGAGTGTTATTATATTATTGAATTGCGGCAGCTCAATATTCCGAGGCTTTTGTCAGTTCAAGCGCATGCCTCTAATGAATTCCCGATTACCACTATTGAACATTTCCAAAAAAGATAACCATGAAACATAGCCGAAGGCACACACATGAATTGTTGCAGAAAGGCCACTATTCAGTATAAATCGGGGAAAATAAAGTATTATTAATCTAATAGGTCCCAATACAACTATTGCATTTATGGAATCTGCAACTTACAAGGTGTAGCGTTTAAAAGTTTTCAAAGGATTATACACACGGATGTACTTTAATCATTATACATACATATTTATTTATTAAAAAGTGTAATCGTCGATAGTGCTTGCGTTTAATATTTTCTATAATTACCTGTTCAGTGCATTTAGCTTTGTACAGGTACTAATAGCTAACAAATCTTGAAATCTTCATACAAATAAATTAAAGTAGTTTATTCCTAAACTAGCCCGAACAACCACGGCAGCCACAGTGTACGCATTCCACAATACGTCCTTCTTCCAGTTTTGATTTTGGCACACGGCAAATGCAATTTGTGCCAAAGTTTGTATCACGTGTTTGTATGCAACGCAAGCAGCATAGATTTTCATATCCAGACTTTTTCCATTTAGCAATTAGATTTGCATCTGCAATTTTTTCTTTGAGACAATAATCGTATAATTCGCGACTGATTGCTTTGCGCCGATAGAATAAATCGTAGATGTAGCGAGATTTCTGGTGATGTATTTTGAAAATTGGCCAAAGCGACTCGGTAATACGTTTGCCTTCATGTGGCTCGGTTTCGGCTGAAAATTTAAACAAATATTATTATGTATTGCATTTTACAACGAATTAAATCCCTTGCCTTCACGCATCTTCTGCTCCAATTCCTCTAGCGTAGGTTCGATTAGTTCCCATCCGTCTGGTGGTGGTTTGCGACTTCTGCGGACTTTCGGCATGTTAGTATTTTAGGTATTGTTAAAGTTACTTTCGAAAAACTATTTTATTAAATATTTTAGCGATTATTATAAGTTGATTAGCGTCCCACAATAACAAGAGTGCTAAGTTTGTAATGCCAAGTGTCAAAAACAGCTGGCCTAACCGCAACTGATGCTGCCACGTCGAACATTTTTTTATACATTATTTGCGTCTACACTAGCGATTCGTAAGTGCATGTCGTTGCAATAAATATTTCACGAACATATCGAGCCCCAAGAATGATAGAATACAAGACTGCCCCGCCCTGGCAGCGATGACATTGTAAACCAGAGATGGGCACTAGCGTGAGCTAAAAGTGAGAATGTAAAAGTGTTTCTAATACATTTTGCATATTGTCGCGTTGTCATCGTTACCATCGTTCTATCGTTACGTCATTACGTTCTTTGTTCTTGTTGAAAATATTTGGAGTATTATTTTAAAAGGATCTGGCAACACTATGCATAAATGTCAGAAAACAGAATGTCAACCAAAGACAAAAGATCAAAAAAACAAAAAAAAAAAAAGCGTTCATCGCGCATATTGTTTTTATCTATATATTTTTATTTACTTTTTGTTTGATTTAGTTTATTACCTGATAACTTAAATTAAATATCCCGGTAAGCTGTGAATTTTTGAAAGATAATGAAATCATGGCTATAAGAGATGTTAGTTAACTACTGGAATATGCCGAAGAACATACAACCAATATGCAGGGCGTGCTTGCGAAAATGCAAAGGTCGGCGCGTTTTACTGCAGGATACTTTCCCAGAAGACGCAATGCAAGAGCCCATTATGTACTCGACAGCCTACGCAGCGTGCACTCAATTGGATATAACAACAGGGGCAGACGGCATGCCGGAATACCTGTGTAATAGTTGCAGTCGTCAGTTACTATTTGGTGGTAAATTTTTGGAAGTATATTAAAAAGATTTCTTCTATTCCAGGTGACCTGCAGGACGCTTATGAGTTTCGTAATAAAGCTATACGAAGTTTTGAAAAGCTACTTAGTCAAATTGGTTTACAAAAACAAGAGAATGTAGCGAGAGCAGTATCACCATCCGAATTCGAGTTGCCCGATAATCATACAGCAGCAGCGTATATGCGTGCAGATGCTGACATAATTGACGCATGCAGTATGGAAGTGGCGAAGCGTACAAAAGACCCGCTTGAAGATTCTGAGAGTGAAAATGTGAGTAGAAGTATGTGTTATTCAAATGCTGAAAACTACTTAATGGATATTATGAAGGCGAATTGATATTATTTGTTTGTAAAAAATTTGTATAACATTCAAAGGAATCAGAGAACAAACTCAAGTCTCCAGCATCCATTCACACGTTTTCGGATAACGCTTATGACACCGAGGATGACAAACCACTTAAACAATTGATAAGTTAGTAATTGTTATAAATTTTACAAATCTTTAAATCTAATACGCATTTGCATAGTTAAAAAGGAATGTAACATATTCAACACGGACAATGTGGATGAAACTGCCTCTGCGCCTCTGGGTAATCAGTCATTGTACGATGATGATGATGAGCTGATAGGAGATGAAAACATTGACACTGAAAGAATCACGGATTCTATGTTTTCACCCGAAGCGCACATTTTTCCTAAAGGTCTTTGAAAGCACTGAGATTTAAAATGACTAGTTATTATTTTGGTTGAATTTTAGGACGCTTCATATGCGCGATTTGTGATCAAAATTATTTTACTTCAATCGGCCTAAAAGCCCATATGGAAGTGCATCTTGCAAAGAGTGTTACAACAAAAAAGAAACGTACACGTAACAAAAAACGCAAGACTTCAATAAAACCCGACTCAGAGGTTGAAGTTTCAACTGTAGACGCTGGCTGTGATAATTCGAACCCATGCCAATCCATCAATAGCAAAAGGTTAGAAAAACAAACGGAGCCTCATAAAGACCAAAATTATAAAAAAAAGCGTAAACCGAAGGAGCCAAAACCTAAGCGTATGTTCCCTTGCCACGTATGCGGGAAGCATATGATATCGGCTTCTAAGCTACGCTATCACATGGTAATGCACACAGGCGAAAAGGACTATTTGTGCACAATGTGTCGTATGTACATATATGAAAGCAATGCTATTTTATAGTTGATAATACAAATTTAATATTTTATAGCAAAGGCTTATTCTACAATCTATGCTCTAAAGCATCATATACGGACACACACTGGCGAGAGACCTTACGAGTGTAAATTTTGCGGTGATCGTTTCCTAAGACCCACCACGCTTAAAAGTCATCAGCGTCGTCATACCGGTGAACGTCCCTACGGTTGCGATGTATGTGGCAAACGTTTCATACAACACTCATCGATGACAACGCACATGAAACTTAATCATATGGATAAAACTATACAGTGTCCACACTGTGATAAGAAATACGCACGACAAACAGATTTGAATACACATTTGCTTAGCCACACCGGTGATAAACCATACCCTTGTCAGCTGTGTCCTAGTCGTTTTGTACGGCAAGCAAACCTCAATAAGCATATGAATCAACAGCATGCCGAGAAGGCTAGTGCATCAAATCTTAGCAGCGCCACTGCTGCTAAGAAGATTAATAAAGATGGTGCGATAATGCACCACAATGATAATAAATTATTATTTGAAGAAAGTGAGGGAGTGCTGCGCAGTTCAAATGCGACCTGTGATGAAACATTTCCAACTGGGAGTAATATTGTGGAAAGCTGTCGAAATTTTCTTAGGTAATGTAAAACATTTTTAAGTTTAATTAAGTTGGCTGCATTTTGTTTAATATTTTATAGCTCCCAAAATGAGAATTATGTGCAAAGTCAACAGACAACACATATTTTGACTGAGGAGCAGCTCAACAGTGATAATTTAGTGCCTTGGAATTGTTGAAAATGTACTTAAGTATTAGCATTAACTAGCTATAAGCTTTAATAACGCAGGTAGGTAAGTTTTAAAAATTGACTTGCCTTGTGTTGAAAAATTAATTCAGATGATTAAAAAAAAGTAAAAAAATGTTCCTCAGTAAACAAGTACAACAGTATTACAAATTCTCTATTCTCTATTGCAACATTTATTGCGCCAATATTTGTATATCACTAAACTTAAAATAAAGCCAATTTTTTTTTTATCTTCAAATGTAAAAGCATAACCATTACTAAAAGTTTTCAAATAAAAAATATTTTAAGCCATTAGCTTAAAAACATTTTTTATATGATAAACTTGCTTATATACATACATATGCACATAATCAATTAAATATTCCATTAAAATTAAGCAACGGTTCATTTATATATTCTTTAATTTTTGCTTCCGCTTGAAGTTGCGCAAAATGTGCAGATACTTGATCTTGTTGGTTTGTCTGCTGCGTTTATATTTTCACACAGATGGGGGCTAGTATAATTGGCACACGGCTTCTCGTTGTTGCCTGTAAATAAATCGAATTCAGTAAGTTTTGTCTCAGTTTAATTCTACTAATTTAGTAGTTGTAATGATTCTTATTAGATTATCACTACTTGTATAAAATGCTTAAATTTTGAGTTTGTATGTATATGTGAGCCAACAAATTTTTTTAATTACATTTTCTTAATTGTATTTCATTAAAATTAAAAATAGTCTAAGTATTATATTTACCTGTCATAACGACCGCGTCCAGATGTGCTATGTAACTCTTAGCTAATCGTAATATTTCAATCTTTGATAATTTTCGATCACATGGTTCTGTTGGTATTAAGCTGCGCAATGTTGTAAAGGCGGAATTGACACTAAGAAAAACATTTAGATTATATAGCGGCTTCTACATACTTTTTAGTTTATATAAGTAGCTAAACTTTATCTAGAATTGGACAGCATTTTTTTCAACTCACAACCTTTGTGTGCGATTACGTTCACGTGCATTCACTTCCTTGCGCGGCTTCTCTGGCTCGCTGGCGTTAGAGACTTCCGAGTGCACAGGACTAATACTTTGCGCTTCACGCATCAATCCATCTAATGTGACTGAATAATTGTTAAATATTCCGTAATCCATTATTAGAAGAAAAACTGAATATAAAATAATCCAAAATATGCTATTATTCAGCAGATAGCACACTGTCCAATTAAAAACAGCTGGTATGATTGATTAATTAAAAAATTCACTTGTACTTAATTTGAAGCCTCTCGTAAAATTTCACTTCGATTCAATTACCAACGTATAGCTAACCGTTGGAGAGCAACAATAAAAGTGCACGTCTGCTTTTCATGGCGATGTTCTTTTCAATGTTTTCTCCACTCAAAGCAAACGGTAATGTACATTTATCCACATATATTTTTGCTTGTTTTTGTTTTTTTAACAAATTAGTTAATGATCATTGCTGATCTCTTATTTCAAGAATTTCCCTTCTACGCTACTCATCAATCGCTAGCAGTAGCCGCAGCTACGCTCTGCCGCATTTAAAATTAATAGTTTCAGGAACAGTAGTCGCAAGCATACAACTGTGATGCGCTGGCTGCTGGCACACTGGTGGCGCACTGTCTGTGAAATGAATTAAGTCGTTAGTGGCGACAAATTGACCATAAAGAATGTATGAAAGAGTATAAATATGGGCATTACACATAAAAAAGGCATCAACAAATGCCAGCGCGCACTGCTTGTTATGAATGTAGGAGTTTAATACCTATAACAAGAGCGTAAATATTTGACCACATGAAATGCAATCTCACTGCAGGACTGCTTATCTTGTAGGATATATAAGTTCCATATAGTACTTTTTCTTTCTTTCCGCATTTCGGTCTTTGCATTTGCTTTGCGAGCAGCGTCACAGCGGGCTCCCATGCGACACTTCCGCAAAATATACTACAAGGGTTTGTTGTTATTTTTTCCAAAAGATCTCGCTGATCCACTTGAGTCTTAATCCCTCATTTCAGCTGCTGATTTCCAATTGTGGCGGTAAATTGAATTGCGTTGCTTTGTGGCCTGCGTTAACTACTAAATATATGTCTGTACAAATGTATGTATTTGAATGAGCATGTGTGCTTATGAGAATACATAAATGGCTTCTGATCTGTGGCTATGAACTACAGCCCGCGACGAAAGATAGCACATCAACATTTTTACCAGTTTTGACTATTTTTCTTTTGATTTTATTTAAGGTACATTCATTTTTTTTTATTAAAATTCAGCTCCTTATCTAAGAAAAATCGTATAAGTCCAAATTTCAAACTTTGTACAAAAATTAAAAAAATGCACAAACTTTTCATACCAATCCCCAGTATTTTAATTAGAATCTCTAAATTTTTAGTATGCAGTTTTATAGCTTATTAAAATCTAGTATAATAAAGTGACAGTTTGAAGTTGCTAAAAAATCGCATTGATTTTTGATTTTTTTTTTCAGACGGTGTTATGTATTTTTTCCCTTAGAAAAACCTACTTTGTATGGACGAAAATCGTGATACCGTCAGCAAAAAAAAAATTATCAAAAATCGGCGCCATTGTTTAGCAACTTCAAACTTGCACTTTATTATATATACTAGAAATTAAAATTAAAATGCTTGTAATTGCGGAATTTTCATAATTTTTTTGCAAGGAATGAAATTTGGATTAATATAATTTTTGTTAGATAAAGAGCTATACTTTTATTTAAAAATAATAAACATTAAACAAACAAGAGATAAATAGTCAAAACTGTTCAAAATGTTGAGGTGCTATGGTTTTGTCGCGGGCTGTATGTACATACATACATACCCATCCAAGCAACAGCAAGTGCCTTTCTCTTAATTAACAAAAGCATATCTTTGATAATAAGCTGATAAGCAAACATAAATGTTCATTAATTCTTTAATAGAGTGAGAACGAGAACATACTGACGTCAGCTAAGTTGACTTAATTGGATGAAAATGTATTAATTTTTATTCAGAGGAATGCATGTACATCACTAAATTTATATATATGTACGTTAGGCCGCCACGAGCGAAATACAATAAAAACATCACCTCTCCTTATCCAAGTATTCTCCACTTGATCCATTTTATGACACCCTCCAAGATAATTTGGCTCAAGTCCATTTGACTGACATGAGCTGGACCTACTATATTATTTAGAATATTGTATGCAGATAATTCAAGAACGCAGAACGAACAATGCCACTGAAGATAGTACAACGCCAAAACCGGGTTGTCTCCAAGTCAAATATATCATCGTTGATTTCTCAACAAGTCTTATGTGAACAGCACACAATTGAGGCAAACTGCTTGATGTAGAGCAGTGCCAGGCCAAATACACACGCACACATACATACATACATATGTAGCACACTTACCGCACATAGCCACGCGAGGCTACTAGCTGCCTGGTACTAATGTAGAGTGATTAAATTAACCACATTTTATAATTTAAACAAGATTTTTCGTGGGGCATCCTAATACACGCACAATACACATACATACATATGTAGGTAGTATTATGTATGAACAAATATGTTTTTCCACCACTCAACACTTGGTTCATAAAGTCACAGCAGGAGCTCAACGCCTTCTGAAGTGGTTCTTTTGACATAGATTTTTGGGCACACGTCGGAAGTACTTTAAGTGCGGCAGGTAAAAATAATATCGATTTGCTCTATTCTGATTCAAAAAAAAAAAAAACTTAACTAATGTCTTAGGTTTGCTTAGTTTCCTTGCAGAATTTCTCTGCTTTTAAAACAAGGCGCATGCGCATTATTGTGAAATACTAAATGCGTTGGTCACGCGTGTGTAAATATGTTTGTATGTATATACTAGCTTTTGCCCGCCGCTCCGTCCGGCTTAAGTTCGGCGTAACGTTACGATTTCAAATGTGACAAAAAGAAAATAAATTTTATCACGAAAATAAAAAATTTTCTTCAAAAAAGGTGCTTATTGTCTCAAGGTTCAACCCCCTTTAAAAATATTCTCGAAATAAAGCCTTCTTAAATATCTTTTGTTTGACTTAACCTAATTTTGGAATGTTTCACTTTGCTTACTGATTTAATTTCATTTGACTTTTTTAATATGTGGCAAGCTCTTTAAACATATTTTCGAAAAAGAAGCTTGTTTATGCCTCTTTCTGTTGACATCCATATTATAATACTTAATTTAACTTATGAAAAAATGGAATTTGACTTTTAAACGGGTGGCAACCTTCTTAGAATATTTTTGAAAATAAAGCGTTTTTAAACCTCATTCATTTGCCACCAATATTGAAATACTTCCTCTAACTTATTAATAAAATTCAATTTGACTTTTAAATAGGTGGCAAGCCTATTAAAAATGTTTTCTTAAATCGCTTTCGTTCGGCATCCATATTGTATTTTTTTGATGAACTTATATTTTAAAGTAGAATATAACTTATTAAGCAAGTGGCATTCCTTGTAAATAAATATGCTATATGTAAAAAAATATTATAAGTAACCTGTATGCCAAATTTTATATTAAAAAAAAAACACAAACAAAAATACTCATAAATTTTCACATTTATAATATTAATAAAAATTAATTAATTAACTTGCCAATTTCCTTTCGTTTGTGATTCTTTAGTGAACTTTCTAATTAACCGATTTTAACTTTTTTAATATGTGGCCACGCAATTAAAAAACATTTTTATAATAAATTGGGCTCGAACCTCTTTTGCGTGATATCTACACTGTTGTAATATTTTATTTAAATTGTTAATTAATTGCTTTTAACTTTTCTGAAATGTGGCAACTCTCTTCAAATGATATTCTATATGTTAATCCAGGTTATAACATATTTTTGCTCTAAATCTTATTGGAATACGTCAAGCCGTTTAAACTATGTACTCAAATAAATTCGAACACTTCTAAGACAAAAGGTTGAAATTTGAACGAAAGTTTTTTGGATTTTTTTAGTTTTCTACAAAGTTTTAAACTTGGGTTTATTTGGATTTTGTTAGAGAAGGAACTATATTTTATTTAAAAGTTCTTAAAAATAAATAAATAACCAGCAGTGGCAAACAATATCACATTGAGTTGAGGTGCCATTGATATAACCGATACCGATTAGCGCACACAAGGGGTGGGTTTTGGGGTT